TCCGCTTCTCTCTTCACTCGGGTGTCCAAAACATACGGCCACAGGTCAGATGATACGACTACAAAGTCTATCATCGACCTGCAACCTAGGCTGCCCCGGTACCAAGTGTACCGATGGGCATCCTTATGTTCGAACATGGTGTTCGTGATGGCCAAACTGCGGCTTGCACAGAAGTCCAATAACGATACACCACTCGAGTTCAGATCAGGCGGGTCGTTCCCAAAAACCAGTTTCCTTGTCTGGGGATCGGACCGCCAAGGCTCCTGCCTCGGTCTGCCACCCGATCCACACTGCACCGGACCCTTCATGTTCCTCCTGCAGGTGGTGGGTCCACAGTTTGATGAGCCCATGTATCCGGTTCGGGCTGGGCCCGGCCGGGCCCCATGGGTGAAAGCCCGGCCACCAGGCACTCGCTCACGGGCCCCAACCCCAGGTCTGGCTGCAGGGTGGGACCCCGGTAGCCCTCAGGGCCGGATACTCAGACTCATTGATAGTTCATCCATGAAAGATCTTCTGAACCGTTCTTTGTCTCACCCTTCACCTAAGACCAATTTGTCATGGGAGACCCTACCAGGGGCACAAAGTGCCCCAGACAACATAGCTCCAAGGATCATTAGGGCATTCAAACTCCTCCACCACAATAAAGTGACGGTTCAAGGTTAAATGAGTGTCTAATCGTAATCGTGTTGTAGACAGGTGTAGTCAATAATTTGGTGCTTTAGTGCATCTTAGTTAAAATGTCAATATTCTGCTTAAAACTGCCAGTGTTGTACCGTTTTCAGGTAAAAACTCTGCATTGCATTTGAATTTAAAAATCACAAACAGTGAGCAGAATCCCTACTTAGATAGTTGTAGTCAGTGCTGTGGTGCTCATACTGTCCAAATTCTAGAAGCTTCTTGCACCATACCCTTAGAACACACTCACAGCCTGCACATAATTGATTTGCCACCTTGGCCCAACTACCCCCTGACTGCCTCCCGGAGATCGGGGCAGGGAAAATGTGGGCAGGATCAAACGTTTATAGGTGAGCGGAGACAACTATTTGACTCCTGCTCCTCTCTCAATGGAACCGGGAAACCGTGAGTAGCCCCTGAGTTAAGGATTAAAAAGCCCTAAAAACCCACAAAACCCATGTAAAGCATAACATTGGTAATCAAATTACTTGTTTGCTGGATGTCATGAATTTTAAAGAAAGGGCAGATAATTAAGTTAAATGAAACAGGCGCCATTTTTGATCCAATCTGTTCTGATATTTTTATTTTTTTCTACTTTTGTGTATGCACATAGGTATTTGTGTCTTTTAGCTATACTTTTGGTACCTATATAAAAGGTTCAAGCATTTGATAGACTATTCTTTGAACCTGTCAAAACAATTTTTATAGTTTATTTTATCAATGCTGCCTTTATTTTAATAGTCATTTCCCAAGTGAGTGTAAAACAGTATAGACAGACACGGGTAAATTTGTTGTACACTCAGTTATATCAACTACATTAAGAAGACCAGAGACTTAAATTGTGCTGATACTTCTTAAAACACGCCAGGGTTTGAGGCGGGGTGGTGAGACATTGTGTGAGACACCCAAGAATGCAGACTAAATTCTTCAAAAAGGTAAATTTAATAGAGCAAACAACAGCCAACATAGGAATAAAAAAAGTACAAACAAATGAACCAAAAAGCACACAAAAAACAAGAGAACCTCCAAAAAAACAATGTAAGGAGGAAACAGAATGCAAAAACTGAGTTTGACACCGCTGTACTACGGCATTTCAAAGCCAGAAAACACCTTCATCTTCCTTTTGTCCACAATTTCTTTGCAGAACTCCTCATAGTCTACATGAACAAGAATGGTTCCCTGCAATCATTCATCTCCTCTTCATCCAGGCCATCACAGAAGCATAACCTCTCCACTGCCCTCCAGCAAGCTTCCCTGTCCATGGAGATGACCTGGGGAAGGGAAATGTTTCCTTTGAAGGACCTTGTGGTACACCACCTTGCTGCCTCAAAGGTGTCCTCGAGCAGAGAATTCTCCTAATCAAAAATAAAGACATTAAAATTACTGCTGCTGTCATGAGATTAAAAACATATTTTACATTAATTGTGTGATCTGTAATTAATCTAATCTCTTTTTTAATTTCATCTAATAACTGTACATAATATAAACCTTATTTTCAATGCTAACAGCTAGCCAAACAGCTGATGCTGTGGTCTTTCCAAACTGCAGCATGGATGTGCGTCTGATACGGGAGAGAAGCTTTCAGCAGCCTTGCTGCTCAGTGACACCCATTACATCCAAATGGTAACAATAACTTTGGAAAAAGTTGCAAGAAGGGTGAAAAAATGGAGTAAAGATAACCAGGTCGCTGAAATAAACACTGCTGCAGCTAATCTCTCACCTCACCGGTCTTGTCACTGTAACTTCAACCATTCAACTTATGAGTTTACGTCAACCCTTCAAGAACACCAGTAAGAAGCTTAAAAGAAAAGAAATTGGTTTTATTTAAAAGTAAGTCCCATATAGAAGCAGTAGATTAAAAATGATTAACATAATTAAAATATATAACACGTTAATCATGGCTGTAAAAAATTTATTGAACTAGTTTTTATTTATTTATCTACATATCTTTACCAATATATTTTGACTAAACACTGGGTGGGCACTTGGTAGAAGATCGGTTATATTTTTAAACTAATGGTTAAAAATATAACCGGATCTATCTGGTTTGACATTAGAACCTTAACAATAATTTTTGTTGCCTATATTTTGAAGTTAAATTTTAAGGTTTTTTTTATTGTAATTTTCTGACCCTAATTTATTTCTTGCAGTATTTCTATTGTATAAAAGCAACAGTGCAAACAGTAAAGACACAAAATTAAAATAAATGTCTAAAAATAGCCCTTATTAATACTAATGGTGTCATCACCTGTTTGGAATATTTTGATGAACTTCAGAAGAAAAATGCAGTACAGAAAACTTACATCCAACACAAATTTTAAGACCCAGATGCCAAAATTGAAGGGTTTCAAGGTATTACTTTCAAATTCATAAATTCAATGCTTTTAAGACTCCGTGGGAACCCTGTAAACATTTCTCCTCAAAAGTAAGTCTCCACGCATATGTAAAATAGGCTATATGTATTATCTAAAACTTATAATCGAAAAAAAACCTTTAATTTCCAAGTTTATAAAACGTTCGCCCCAACATTAGTCCTCAATATTGTTAAAACAGAAAAAGAAAAAACCTAGCTTACCTCCATTTTGGCAGCTACTTCCCTCTGTCCCGGCTACACACATAGCACACACACAGCATAGCGGTTTCCCGGTTCCATTGAGAGAGGAGCAGGAGTCAAATAGTTGTCTCCGCCCACCTGTAAACGTTTGATCCTGCCCACATTTTGCCCCGCCCCGATCTCCGGGAGGCAGCCAGGGGCTACTCCCTTGGCCCCGCCCCTTTGATGACATCACAAAGTGACTTTGTGTGAGAAGACATCTTGAACTATTGACCAAAAACATCAGATCAGTCGCTTAGTCCACTCGTTTACAGTCAGACCAAAAGACCTATTCTTTACTTTCAGTAGACAACATGGACATCTGATGACGTTAGGGTGATCTCCCCAAAATCACGTCACCCCGCATGTGAGCCTGTTGTTTTAATGTAACATTTGTGAGGGTGTACGCTGCCTTTCGAGCTGCAATAATTGGCTTCCTACTTTCAGGGTCATGCCCCATATATATGCAGATAACGAATCCTCCAGTGATTAATAATAAGGGGCCTGCTTGTTGACAGGTCACTAACTAACTAACTAACTAACTAACTAACTAACTAACTAACTAACTAACTATTACATTCTGCCCTTAGGTGACATCTGTCGTGAGCTTGGAGTTCAATTCCACCTATATGCTGACCATTGTCAGCTGTACCTGCCTCTGAACACGTCAAGTGGTCTCTCTATTTCTATTCTTACTAACTGTTTGAGGGAGATCAAGACCTGGATGAGTGAAAAATTTCTGAGCCCAAATGGTCACAAAACAGAGGCTATATTGTTTGCTCCAAGCATACATTGTGACTCTTCCCTAACTGACTGTGGGTCATTTAATGGCCAGCTGACTATATTGGTGACTATCTTGATGTTAAACTGGATAGCGCCCTTAGTTTTGATACCGACATCAATGGAGTGATCTCCTCCTCCTTTTTCCACCTTTGCTAGTTGGCAAAGATCAAACCAATTTTGTCACATCATGATCTTGAGACGGTAGTCCATGCTTTTATTACGGTGCGATTGGACTACTGCAACTCTGTTATTCGGTGTGAGCAAGGGCTCAATAGCCAGGTTGCAAATGGTGCAGAATGCTGCTGCCACATTTTTAGAGGGCAGGCGCAAGTATGACCACATAACTCCTGTCCTGGCTGCGCTTCATTGGCTGCCCATTGATGTAAGGATTTGTTTTAAAATACTCTTACTGGTTTTTAAAACGTTAAATTGTTTGGCCCCTCCTTACTTGGTGTCACTGCTTCAACCGTACACCCCTGCACGGTCCCTCCGCTCGAAGAACCTCATGCTCTCTCGGTCCCAAGAACGCGCCTAAAGACACGTGGTGATAGGGCCTTTGCTGTGGCAGGTCCTAAGCTTTGGAACGAGCTTCCTCTCAGCATAAGGGCCTCCACCTCTGCTGCGGTTTTTAAGGCAAGGCTAAAAACCTACTTTTATGATCTGTCTTTTAACTTTCTAACTAGTTTGATTGTTTTACTTACATCAATCTGTGTACTCACTGTATTTTTTATCTGTATCCTGTGATACAATGTTTTTATTTTCTGGACTTAATGTTTTACGTTTTTACTTGATCAGTGTAGCCCCTTGGTGGCATCTTTTTGCCTGTAAGGCGCGATTTACAAATAAAGTTGTTGACTAACTAACTAACTAACTAACTAACTAACTAACTAACTAACTAACTAACTAACTAACTAACTAACTAACTAACTAACTGACCTCCCTCCCTCCCTCAGTGTTTGGTGGTGATGAATTTCACAGAAAGAACTTATCAGAACATCATCCAGAGCCCTAAAAATATGGTTTAACTGGCATACTCATCTGTCCCGTTTCTCGTTCATGTGTTGAGTGATAGGTCTGAATTTAGGTTTGATCTTGTTTTGCCAATAAGTTGGAAACACTTACATGATGTGAAAGTTCATAGACAAGGCAGACGGTGTCCTTGTAGATAAAACAGTCAATTAATCTCATCACGTTGCTTTTTTCTGAGTCTACATCAGTAAGATTGTCTTGCGCATTAACCTCCATCATCGCTTGCAGCCGATTTTCTTTTCTAAATACTTTTATTGCCACTTTCTCATCTGTTCCTTCTTTTCTGCACTGGACTAATTGTATATATTCCCTGGATGCAAGTACTTCCTCAATTTGGTAAACATCTGACTGGTTAATAATTTTAACTTCTTTCTCCAATTTTAAAGTTGAGGATTCCTTGTCATCTTGTGATTCTGTTGGATATAAGACTGACTTGTGAGTTTCCACTTCTGTGACATTATCTTGGTCAGTAATATGGCTTTCTGTTGGTTTTCTCTGTTGTGTGTCAGAGCTCGAACCAGGAAGATGCCCCATCTTGATGAATTTGTGCTTGAGAGCATTCTTCGGATGAATTCGATCAGCTGGATTCAGAGCTAACATCTTTCTAAGTAGGTTTATAAAAGCTTTTATTTCTGCTATTTCGGTGTGATTTTTTAAATCTGGTGCCATGATCAGAAGATCGTCTAGAGACTTCAAACGACGCTTTACATTGTCTGCTTTGCAAGCGCGCCGTTCTGTGTCCTGTTCATATTCAGTTTTAGTTTTCAGTCTCCAAATAAGTTTAGGTTTGCCCTTGCCCAGTTTTAAAAGTTGTCTGATGTGCTGACCCTTCTGTTTTTTTTCTTCTTGTATAAAAAAGCGATTGGCATGTGCTCCATTCTCAAGCATGCTATTGACAGGTAGACCCATCAGTCTAACAATTTGCCTCATAGCTCTGTAGTCGTCAAGTGGAAACATATGATTGGCCACAAACAGAAAGACCAGTACACAACCAAGGCCCCACATATCAATCCCTTCATCACGTGGAAGACCCAGAAAAACCTCAGGTGCCCTGTAACCTTTAGGTTGCATCCAAGAAGTGCTTGATAAATTAGCTGTCTTAACAGCTAGCCCAAAATCAATCAATTTGATCTTAAAGGGCTTGGAATCAGAATGTACGAGCATTATATTATCTGGTTTTATGTCTGTGTGAGTCAAACCAATGCTTTTCAGAGCTCTGAGGGAGACCAACAGCTGTTCAGCGATGGGTCGGATTTCAGCCACACTTAAATGTCTAGGACGTCTTCTTAATACCAACTGAAACAGATTTACATCTAAATGTTCTAAAACAAGACACGTGTGGTTTTTGTAGATAAAAGAGTCAAAAACTCTGATAAAGTTGTTTTTGTCTGCCTCCAGAACACTGAGCTCGTTATATGCCTTCAACTCCAAATCAGCAAAATAGCGCTCATACTTGTTAAACACCTTTACAGCTACTATCTCACCTGTTTGCTCTTTTTTGCATTTGAAAACTTTTCCAAATGTCCCAGACCCACGTAATCTCTCAATTATGTAAACATTCAATTGGTCAATGATTTTAACACCTTTCCCCACCTCTAAAGTTGAAGATTGTATTTCCTCGCTTGATTCTGTCAGGTTCAGACCTGACTTATGATTTTCCCCCTCTGTGGCACTTCCTGGGTGAGTGAATGGGCCCTCTGACACATCAGTGCTTGCATTTTCAGCCACACTCGCAGGTTTGGGATCTTGTTTTTCTGGTGAGTCAGAAACTCTTGGGTATGAAAGTTTAAAAACAAGGCAAATGCAGTCTTTGTAAGTAAATGAGACAATTAATCTGATCAGATTGGTTTTGCCTGAGTCCAAATCATTGAGATGGTTGTACACGTTTATCTCCATCTCAGCTTGCCAATGCTTTTCTTTTCTGAAAATCTTCACTTTTACGGTGTCGTTTGTCCCCTCTTTTCTGCACGTCACCAATTGTGTAGAACCCTTAGATCCTAGTACGTCCTCAATTTGATAAACATCTGATTGGTTGATAATTTTGACCCCTTTCTCTAATTCCAGCATTGAAGGCTCCGGGTTTTTGCATGAGTCTGCCACGTCCAAGTCTGACTCATGAATTTTCACATCTTGACCAGTGATTTGGCTTACTGCTGGGATTTCATGCGTCTCTGATGCATTAGAGACAGGAACATGCTCCATTGTTATAAATCTGTGGTTGAGGGCATCAGCTGGGGAAATTCTGTCTTCTGGGTTCAAAGTTAACATCTTTTTCAGTAAATCTACAAATGCGGATGTGTCCTTAAACTCAATGTTGTCTTCTGTTTTTGCTGCTTGTTTCACCAAATCATCCAGAGACTCTATATGATAATAATTTGGCTGACTTTCCTGAATCTTCGTTCCTGTATCCCGTGTGTATTCTTCAGCCGTTTTAAACATCCAGCCAGAGCTTTGTGTAAAATACTGCTGAACAGCTCGCCCCTGCTCAAGGAGGCTTTGGTCAGGCTGACCAAAAAGCTTCGTAATAATTTTTAAATATCCGTAAGCACATTCTGTTGGAAACAGAGGCCTTCCCACAAACAGAGATGCGAGAAGTGAACCAAGACTCCATATATCCACACTCTGATTAAGTGGACAGTCCAAGAGAACCTCTGGGGCGCAGTAACCAAGAGTTTTAGGAATTTCCATTTTTGAGAGCTTTGAAATTTTTCCAGCAAAACCGAATCCACTCAGCTTTACTTTGAACGGCTGTGATTTATGATCCACTAAAGAAATATCTTCTGCTCTTAAGTTCAAATGAGCGAGGGACACGCTGTGCAAATGATTTAGAGCTAGCAGTAGTTGCTTGGCAATCAGTCTGATTTCATGAACTTCCAAAGGTTTAAAGTTTCTGCTAATCATGAAATCAGACAGTCTCATGTCAAGTTTTTCTAGACCAATGCAAAACCAGTCATGGAATCCAAATATTTCTGTAAACTTGATTAAGTTGTTTTCATCAGGATTCCGATCTTTGAGGTAGTAAAATACTGTTGCTTCTTGTTTATACTTGGAAAATAACTTTCTCTGAATGCATTTCAAAGTCAAGATTTCGCCAGTTTCTTGAACTTTACAAACAGCCAAAGTTGCAGTATCATCATCCACTTGAGAGACTTTTATAACCCGATAAGTCCTGCTATTACTTGTAATAATCGCTCCTTCTTCTATGGTAAAAGTTGACATTCCTGAATTTGTTCTAGAATTTCTTTAAAGTATGATGTTAGCTGTATAAATCTTCTGTGGTTTGTCCAGTCGAAGGATTATCGACAACTGACTTGTTATGCGGACAGACGAGCTTTATGACGTCACCGCCTATGATCTCTGTCGTTCTGACAGCGCACGCGCAATCAACAGTGGTAGTGCCGTTCTCGGCAGCTACGTTACGTAAGGTACGTAAATTAAGATATATGCGTTTGGCTGTACCTTTGTAGGAAACCACCTCCAACGCACAAGCGTGACATATATTAACAAATCTGGCTCAGATTTTTATCAGGTGAGAAATGAAATGCTAATAATCTCCTGGTAACGTTAAAACTACGAAAAACGATAGAGAAGCTAACTAGGGAGGCTAACAACAATGCTAACAGAGACTAGGAGCACAACTCTGCCACCTGCTGACACAATCTGGTAAAAATGTCAATATGGAGAAGTTTGATTAAAGCGCACGCACACACGCATGCGCGCGCTTCTGTTTCCTGTAATGAGCTGATAGGAGCGGCACCCGGTACTAGCAAAGTGTACCCAATAAAGTGCCCAGAAAAAATATATATATATATACACAATCTAGATAGATAGATAGATAGATAGATAGATAGATAGATAGATAGATAGATAGATAGATAGATAGATAGATAGATAGATAGATAGATAGATAGATAGATAGATAGATAGATAGATAGATAGATAGATAGATAGATAGATAGATAGATAGATAGATGGGGTTTCAGCCTTGTTTACAAATAAAATATATATTTGTTGCTACTTCTTGATTTTGTAGACATCTAAATAAACCCCATCTGATATTTTACAATACACTTTGAAGGATAAACAATAATCCTTCAGATAAAACCATTGAATTAACAGTTAAAGTGAATAAAGCATATCTGTGAGCCTGTTTGAATTGAAATAAATAATCATATTTGACTTTTTGTTGGACAGAAGGCAATTCACTGCATTTTCTGTTTCTCTCTTATTAGATGACGCGAAAAAAATAGCATCTGCATCAGCATTTTAATGGAAAATTAATCCATCCAGGAACACTGCAGTTCCACAGATTTATCAATGGGGGGAACCAAACACCATTGCAGTTTTTCTGATCACTAAAACACTATCTGTAAGCCTTAAACTCTTGTTGTTATCATACATTTTTTTAAATCATGCATAATTTGGGCTAAACATTTAACACTGTTCAGGTAATTATTATCAAAACCCAGCCGTTCTTAAAACTTTAAACACTGGCAGCAAAATGTGAACACAAGAAAAACACAGTTTTCATCTTTTAAACCAGGCAACTCAACTCAATTGTTTATATGTTTCTATTTATTTTATATTATAAATGCACTGGATAACTATTTTGCTGGCAGTATTTAAAAGACATCTTATCAAATTGGGTCTGTACTGGGTAGGCTTAAATAAGTTAAATCAATGCCTATAAGCCAAGTGTATTGGCTCTTTTATACTAGGAATCAGGAGTTGTTTTTGTCATTATCTTGGTTCTTTCTTTTTCTCATTAGTTTTTTTTTCTCTCTGTTTGTGCCCTGTGCAATTTTATGACCAAATAAATAAATAAAATCAACATAATATAAAAAATTGTCCTAAATAATCGAGAAATACATTTCAGTGAAAATGATCGTGATTATCATTTTTGCCATAATCAAGCAGCCCTAATATGACTTTACTTTTCTCTTACAGGATCATTTAGCCCATGCTGACTGATGCTGCCTCGTCCTCAAGGCCCACATCATCACTCCTCTCTCCTGAATGTACGTTCAATTGGAAATAAAATTGCCATTTTAAGGGATTATTGTGTTGATCACAAGGTGAATCTATTCTGCATGACAGAATCCTGGGTCCCGCCTGGTGAGTCGACCACTTTCTCAGAATTCTGTTCTACGGGTTGTTCGTACTAAATGTGCCTAGACTCTCCAGTCATGGTGGGGGTACCAACTATGTTTGATTCTACCCTCCACCTGAAACAACTTTCTGCTGCAGTGACTCCTAGCTTTGAGATATCAATCTTTGAGCTGGATTTTATGCCCCTGGTTGTTTGCACTCTGCTACTGCCCACCTAAATATAACTCAAATGTTTAAAATTAATTTTCTGATTTTTAAGCTGACTTTCTCCTGAAATAGGATCGAGGGACTATCAATGGCGATTTAATGGGTCATGTCTGTTGCCCTGTAAAGCCTTTGGTAACTGAGGTCGAGGACATTTTTGGTCCCCAACAATTGGCTCAGGAGCCTACCCATTATCGCTCCCATATGGTTTTAGTGTTAGGTTAGGGTTAGTGTTCATATCTGTGGATCTGTGGATTGTAGGCATCAAGCAGGCCGTTATGTCAGGTGTATCCCCCCTCCACTACCACCCAGTTGTCATCTGGCCTGGTTGATGGCTTTTTGTTCCATTCAGGGCTTCCTCCAGGGAGTAGATGGAATGTTGACCTCCTTCAATACTGGCTGCTCTTAGCTCTGCTGCACCCCTTAAAATCAGGAGTTTTAGGTGTTCTAGCTGCGATACCGGTATTAGTGCGCAAAATGGATGTCATCTCGGAGAGAGTCACCGGATGGTATGGACAAGTTTAAAACCCAAAATTGGCTTCACTGAAGGACTGGAAATGATCAGTTTAAAGACTGAAGGCAGAGAGGAAAACTATCTCAGCCTGACCCAAACAAATTCTTGTTATCTTAATCTGATGCCCTGGTAGCCTTGAGCTGCAAGTAACTAAAACCCCCACGAAGGAATGCAGACAGATGCTGTGAAAACCCGACCTCCCAAGATCTCCCTCCCACCTGTGACCGTACAGTAGATGAGCGCTTTAGATGGCTGCTCTCGCTGGGGGAAACAGGATCCCAGCCCCCTTCTGCCTTCCTATTGGAGTCTCATGTTGTGAACTGTGGATGTTCATGCTTATATGTTTGAGGTGTTTTTTTTGTTTTTTTTGCATAGCACCACATGGAGCACTGGCAATAAAGCTTTTCTGATTCTGAAAAATATCAGTCTTTCATCCCTGGCTCAATGATGATACTCAAGCCTTTAGACACGAGTGATAGGACGTGGCAAATTTTTGAACAAATGCTGAAGGACTCCCTGTCCCTGTATCAGAAAGCCATCAGAGCAGCTAGAAATGAGTTTGCTTATATAATCTCGACACATCTTGGTGATCAACGGAAACTATTTAGTGACATTAATTCTGTTCTGTCTTTAAAAGACACTGCCACGCCCTCCGTTTCAACAACGACCTTTTGCACTGAGTTTATGAACTCCTTCCTGTAAAAGATACAAGATATTAGGTCAAGCATTCTGCTTCTGGGGGAGGTCACCCTGGAGAAACTGCCCCCCTCAGTTATCTGGTGTTGAATTCTATCTTTTATTATGGAGCAATTCCCTGTTCCTTTCTGCACTTTAGTCAGCTGTCATGCTGTTTTTAAATGTGCTTTATAAATAAACTTGGCATGGTAATTTATTCTAAGCATCACAGCACACTAGCGCCTTTGCATCACTCCAACCCTGAAATGGCTAAATCTGGACTACTTCACTGGCCTAAAAAGTGATTATCTCCTCCAGGCCTGCCAATAGTGGGGGACATACTGGTCTGTTGTCCCGGGCCCGGGGGGTTGGTGGGAGCTAAACAAACAGGAGAGAACCTGATGTGTCGCCTGGAGCCGCCCTTGACGGGGTATTGTCACGTGCTCCTTCCCCAGCCCTATTGTCTTTTGTCTCCCCTTGTTAGTGTTTAATTAGGTGCACCTGCCTCTTGTTAACCTCATTAACTGCTCCGAGTGTATTTAAACCCTGTCAGTATAGTGTTGGTTCATCTGATGTCATCCCTGTCTATATGCTTTTGTTCCTGTTGTTCCTGCACTCCCAAGTACTGACAATAAATGGATTTAAGTGTTTTGCTGCCTTCTAGAGCTTCACTCACCTGCATATTGTTCCACAACCAACACTCACCGTGGCAAAAGCATGCCTGAGTTGTCATTTAATTTTCACTTATTTAGGAAGGACACTGATTAAAAAATGTGTTTATATTATGAATACATTTAAAAGTAGCAGCGTTGCTCTTATTTCAAGTTGTTTACTCCCTCAATATGGAGCAGTGCTGAGCAATGCATGTTACTGTGACGGACTAGGCAGGCAGGGTAACCCTTCTCTGCATAACATCTGTGGCTCCAGCGCACAGCCCCGGTGTTGCAGGAGAACTAGAAACACTGACTTTTGCAGTCTGTTGGCAATTTCTTGTTGTTTATTAGGATATCTTTCTCCGTTGGCTGGCTCCACGTTTTTGTATGACTCATTGTGAACTGGGACTGGTATAGGCAAACTGGGATTTAATGAAGACCAGCAATTTGTTTTGATGACACGGCACCCGAAGGTAAAAGCTGGAGACAAAAGTAATTTGTTTGACGGTAGGGAATCGTGGAGCTCTGTCCTTTCCAGCATGTTGAATGCCCCGGATGCACACAATACAAATGGCTGCAACTCTGCCTTCACTGTCCGGTTTAAAATACCACCAAGCTGAAGACATTTTAGCTCTCGGAGCCTGCTTGCTAACAGTTGCACCTTGGTGTCTGAGTCCGAGTCCCTGCCTGCTGTAGCATTAGGTCATGTACATGTCAAAGGTCATCAGGCATTGCACTGTCCAGCCGTCTTAATGTGCCTGAGAAACAGTGGGCTCTCCAAACCAAAACAAACGCTCTGTTTATAACCATCTCTCCATGAGCCAGCCTCGCCACCTGGGGAACCGCCATAACAAAGTTCCTCTCCTGCTTCCTTATCTCTGCTGCAAGTTACAAGACATCTCTAGGAGGAGACATGAGTCTTAATTCAAATTAAAGGTTAATATTTTTTCTATATGTGACAGGGTGAGCATCCTGTCACTGTGACCCGATTGATCATGCGCCCTGGCTACTTGGCCAAGGGGATGTCCCTTTGACTCTCATCTGGGAGTCTGGGGATAAAATCCCACCCGGGCCCTTGTTTCTCCGCCTTGTCACACTAATAAAAATGTTAAAAGCTGCTTTGAACAGATGAGTCTTGAGAAGTGTTTTGAAGGTGGAGAGGTCAGAGCATTGCTGAGGTGTTGTAGGAGTGAGTT